CTGGGGAATTAATTGTGTTTTTAAAGGCTTGATTAGAAATTAGCCTGGCAATAAACAACCTGAAAAAAAAATAAATAAAGATCATCAGCTTTAAAATGGCAGTGTCTCTGCTTACATAAAGCCAGCAGTCAGACCACTTGAAGGGAGAGAGAAGGGGAGACACGGATGCTGGCACCTTAATATTATTCTACTGCTGCACACAGGTCTGAATCAGCTCTGCAAGCGCATACATTGTTTCTTACAGAATATCTCTGGCTCCTAACAACAGAATTGCAACGTGATATTTCTGCTAAAAATGCGATGACTCACAAATGAGTCAACAGTAAAGGTGTTACAGGAGGCTAACTGCTGTGCTGTCTGCCAGGGCTTCCTAGTGTGCAGGAGCAAGGCTGGTCGTTAATTTACTCGACTTTCTTTTCATATAGAATTTTTAAAATCATCTAACCTGTGGAGTTGTGCTCACCTTACTGCTCTCTAAAAATGCTAGTTTTTTAAGAGCCCCCTAAACTGGGTTAACATTGAGATACTACATTGTACTGGATTTAACAGGCATTTTCAGAACTCTGCCTGCTATTAAATTTAATTTCTGCTGAAATCTGTAGTGCAGCTTAATGTATTCATTCAGGAGCAGAGCATTATCCTTGTCTGTCTCTATGCCACAAGAGGTGTCTTTACCAATTGGAATTGTAGATTGAGTTTCTAAAAGAGAAAGTATTTCAGGTTTGTCATGTTTTTGTATTGCTTTTTGCAGTTGAAAGGAGGGCGTTTCCGTAAGTAAAGCTCCATGTAAATCTCCTAAATTTCAGGTATGATACCTAGTTGAGGTGAATACTGGCCATTTGAGATAGGTCACAATTACTAGCAAATTACTTTAAGAGTTGTGAATAAGGGTTATCTGCTGGGCTACAAGTCTCAAGAAAGACAAGTCTGATTGCACCTGATTATTTTGTCTCTGATCACAGTATAGGGTTTGTCACCAGTTACATTTGCCCTTCAAATTGCAAGCGCCATGTTATGTCTGCGTTGGGTATTTTTTAAGCTGCTTTTTATATCAGTATGATGCACTGCACACCAGTGGTGGTAGCCCAGGAATTGCAGACTTTGCCATGAGCCTGGATCGGTATTTCCGCTCTTCACCAACAGATCTGTTTGTTTTCACTAACTTGGACTCCTTTTTTTTGAACTCTCAGCCTTTGCTTTCCTAGAGGAGCCCCTCCTGGCTGAGTTCCCTGCAGCATGCTTTGCTTTACCTCTGCAGAATGAGGCTGGTGACTTTGGGGGGCTAACCGCCCTCTGGTCAGGTGGGCGCCCAGGTTTCCTTGGGCAGAGTGAGCTGGCTCCATTCTTTGTGTTGCCTGGGAATGGGTCATTCTTTCAGCAGGTGTAGGTCCAAGTTCTGCCAGGCAGAAGAGGAGCCGAAGGTGTATTTCCTTCATCCTTGTGAGTGATTGAATCAGTGCAGAGTGGGGTGATTCCACCTTTTTCACCTTGGATTTGTGTCTGGTTTGACTTGCAACAGCATGTCACTTATGTTTGCCAGTAGTTCAGGACAATTAAGCCTGTTTTGTCATCTCAGTGGATTTACTGTTTGCTAATAGCGTTTTATCCAAAGTTCTTGCACTTCTCTATATTCTAACATGTTATTCACATGCTTTTTAGTTTTTTCAAAGTCTTGGAAGTGCTTTCCTTGACTGTCACTGACCACATCACCAACATCTGTGATGCTGTTAATTGGCTTTGTCTTCATACTGCTTTAAGCTGACTTCTCTCTACATTTGATTCCCTTTACAGTTCTTTTGCTCCCTTTCTCTTCACTGAATCTGATTTTACTGGCTGCATCTTCCTGTATTCCAGTTTCTTACTTAGCAAATATCATCTTCTTTCCATCTGCATGGGAACACAGTGCTTCTCCTGACCTGATAGTATTGTCTAATTAATTTTAAATAGGCTAATACTTTTGCTTTTTTCTACGTCCTCATATAGACTAATCTGCTGATTCAGTAATGGCTAGGTTAAGTGCAGATTCTGATGACTGCTTAGTAAATTTAATTAATCACAAGAAACTTGCTGTGTGCAAGTGTACATGCATTTTCTCCATCTCACAGAGTGCACATGCACTCAGGCATAAATTCAAAAATAAATATAAAACCATGTACCTTCATATGTAATGATAGCAATTTTCTCTCTCATGCATTTCTTGTATGTAGATTCTTTTCAGAGCTGTCAAGTTGAGGCTCACTTCTTGTTACATGTTTTTTTCAATGACTGGTGCTTAACACCCATAATTTAGGTTGGATTGTGAGGTGTGTCCAAGATCCTGAAATAATATTATAAGGTGAGTTCTGGGGCTTGTGCTTGAGTCCAGTCTGGAACTGCTGCACAGCTCTTGTGCAGTGGATTCATGTGCCTCTTTGGAGGCACCAACACAACTTTGTGAATCTGTGACTTGAAAGCTGGGCTCCACAAAGGGAACAAACTTCTCCAGTTGCAAACTCAGATTTATGTGGGATTTTGCTCACATAAATGCTTTGCATTGCAATTAGCAGCGTTGCAGACACTGTTTTGCCCTCTGTGGACTTTCTTTTTAGACTAAAAAACGGCTCTTGCTTGTGTGCCAGGTCTGATTTGAGAGCTGCTAAGCCTGGCTGGTGGGATTTAGGCCTGACGAGCCAACACTGTTGCTCAGCTGCATCTGTACAATTGCTGGGGTGTCTAGTGAGTGGGTGGAGTCGCCCCCAAACTGCAGGATGAAATTATCCACAGAGCTAATGGTTAGTGTGAACTACTAAAGCACAGGAGGCCTGCTTTGACTTGGCCTCTTGTCACAGAATCCTGCACATGTGCATAATCACCTCTTGGGGATGGTCAGACATTATGTCACAAGTGAGTATAAAAGAGTAGAATATGGTTTCATATTTTGATCTGTATTTTTCCCAGAGCCCCAGGAAAAAAAAAACCCACATAAAATTACCAAGTGTCCTGAGTTCTTGTATACCAGTATTTTCACTTTGGAAATATAGTAGAGTGAATTGTTTCTGGGAAACCCTAACTAGATTTGAATGTAAGGTATGGGAAATGTCAAAAAGTCTGGATGCTGTTCTAAACTATCCTGCGCTACTCGTCCCTTTACAGAACTCTTGAGTTTTAGACTATTCTTCTAGTTTTTCATTTAGTTTGGAAATTTAAGAAGTAGATTTTCATTTGGTTCTAGATTCTGACTAACATCTGTTAAGCTCTTAAGAGAATTCTCTTATAATTTGCCTAATTTGCCTGCTGTCCAGTTTGAATCTCACCCTGAGTATGTAAAACAAAATATGTATGGAAATCACAAAATGTTTTGTTATTTTCTCAATCATCACGTACAGGTCAATTTTTTTGTGTGAGTTTGTTTAGCGGTTTTTGGCTGTGAGATATGGTAGGATATGAGGACTGGCAGATGAGTTTACTCTTGCGTAAGACACAGGAGATGGTAGCACTTTGTCTTCCTCTCAAAAAGCCTTCCTCTCAAAAACTAGTGACAATCCTCTAATGACTAGATGAGCCTAAGAAAAACTTCTGAGAGGCTTTCTTCTTGTTTTTTTCCTACTGTCTCTACCCTTGGTAGAAATAATGGATTGGAAAGCTGGCATTTTTTAGGCTTGTTAATGAAAAAAATGGATGTTTTGGAACAATTCTAAAAGTGCCTTGAAATGAGGTGATAACTAGCTATTTCTTACATAGTTACACTCATCCCTGATCTTCTTGCTTAATCTCAATTGGCAACATGAATAATCAAAGCTTTGCCCTTGATTATCCCATACAGTTTGGTTTTAATCAAGGTGCTAATTCAAACCAAGTACCAGCCTAGCCTCTTTACATTGCTCTGTACATCTCTTGCCTACCGGTGAATCATAAATCATTATAATAGGATTTCGGGTTTCCAGTGTTTGATTTTTCTCTTTTGGCTTCCTTCATTCCTCTTTTCCTCTCCCTCCGTGATATATTTTGTGTACATGAAGGGCCCTGGGCTGCCAGTCTCTTAATTGTTTATTGGCCTTTTGTAATACGTGTAACTCAACACCCCAGAGGAGCAGCTTTTACTTATGCCACTAATTCTGCTGGTTGCTGTGTGGTTACGGGCACAGACTCTGAATAACTCGCTCAAAGAAAGATACGTGCTTAGGGAAGGTGGTGTTTGGAGTCTGTGAAGATGCAGGTGTGTAGACGCTGCTTAGTGGTGCCGGGTCACAAAATTCCCAGGGGCTTTCAGCAGAGGGCAGGAGGAATATCGCCCCCTTAGCCTGGTGTGCCTCGCTGGAGGCACCGACGCAGCTTTGTAAATCTGTCCCTTGGAAGGTCGTCTCCTTGAAGGGAACAAACTTGGCCAATTGCTGTGGGCAAACTCGGGCCTGTGTTGGGATCCAGCCTCCAACACATCATCAGCCTGTGCTGAGGTTTCTAATACCATGTAGCTGGTGCTTTATGTGCCCCCCTGCCAAGGACAAGTTGAGCTTAGTGGAGTAGATATTCTGGCTCCTGCTGTTTGGAAAGTGTGCTGCTGTGATTTGAACCACCTGAGAGGGAAAAATGCACAATCCTGTATAAAGCAGCAGTGGATTTAGGCAAATTGCTTACTTTTTTAACTCCTTGCCCCCTTTAAAAAATCCGATTTTCATTAGCTTTCTTCTTTTAACTCTGGCCCTTTCCAAACCAGCGCTGTGTAGTTACATCTGTTGGGAGTGAAGGGTTTGCAACTACCGCAGGTTTTTTGAAGTTGGAGGTGTCAAGTAATAATGTATACAGTACTGCAGTCTCTCGGCAGCTTGTGACCTGCTGTTGTTATAATGACTGTCTGAGACCCTATGTGCCTGGAGCAAAGTGCACCCTTTGTGTTCTTACTAGAATGTACAAAAAAAAAAGAAAAAAGTACAATTCAGATGTATTACTTGTCCGCAAGGTAATTGGAGAATTTATAATGGGCCCTGATGCAAGCAAATAACCCTTGTGCCTAATCAGCAGAGAGACGGCGACCTTCCTGCTTCAAAGAAGAAACGCCAAGCAGGGGAGAAGATTATGTATACTTTGGTCTCTGTGCCACATGGAAATGACATCGCATCTCTCTTTGAACTGGATGCCACCACTCTTCAGAGAGCTGATTGCCTGGTTCCAAGGTAAAAAAAAAAGAAAAAAAAAAAGGCAAAAAATAGTGCTACACTGACAGGATTTTTCCTAGCATTATGCTGGTGAGTAAAGCAGAAAAAAATCAAACCTGAGCAAGTATTATTCTTCAGTTAAAATTTGAGGAGTGTTCATGGATAAACAAGGGATGTATAAAACATGATACTGCTGCTGTGACTAGGTAAAATAATTATAAGGATAAAACAAGTGACAGTTAAAGAGAGTTTGTGAAGAGAAAAATAATGGGCTAAATATTGCACAGATATATATGAGCACAGAACTGAGGTCTGTGCGCTATTTAAAAAAACTGTACTGCTAATAGATCTAACTGAATTGTTCCCAACAAAATAACATGTGCGGTGAATGGGGCTTCTGTTTCCCTGACAGATCATGATGCCACCCAATACATTGGTTATGCAAATGAGTTTAACAAGTGGCTTCTGGGTTTTAATTGTGGATATCTGAAATTTCAACTGTGTTCCTTAGATGAGATTGGCCACATAAGTCACACAGTGCTGGTTGTGACTGAATGGGCATGCAGACACTTGGAGCTAGTTGTTAAGAGAATGGATTTTAAAGCTGAGTACCCGCAAATACTGATTTGAAGTGTATTTGCTATGCTAACTTTTGGCAGATAATTTGCTTACTTGAATACTCAAAGCCCATCAGTGTGAAAGGGAGAGCATGAATGCAGACCACAGTGAATATAAAAAGTAGAACTGAGAATAAAAATTGTAATTGATTTCTCAGCTCTGCTTTTTGATCATACCACAGATTATCATATGGAAAGAATTTACAAGAATCTCATGTCTGCTCTTTTTATTCACTTAATTTGAATTGAGAACTGGTACTGTAAATCCTTGCTCCCTCGAACAAGGGTCTACAGATCATAATGGTGAAGTGGTGAAACCATGGTCAGTTTTACTTTCTGGCTTTTGTGCTGTGAGAGCCCGAAGGGGTTTGTTAATCTGCAGGAAAAAAATAAGAAGGGAGTTGGTTTTATTCATGAAATGTATTTCTATTCAGATGGGATTTTATAACACCTTTTTAATTTTTTTTCTTTAAGAAATATTTTACTCCTAGGCTTATATAAATACTTAAACCCAGGATTCTGCATAATCCCAGGATGCTGTTTGTTTTTGTTGCAGCTCTGTTCTGGGTGAGAAAGGAGACTAGGGAGAATGGTACCTTTTAGGTCTTCTTCTTAGGTTTTATTACAAATAGCCGATGTGACTCAAACCCTCAAGTCTCACGTCATGGCCATGTGTTGCGCTGAATCCTACCTTGCCCACTTTAGCTCAGGACCGATCCATCTAACCTGTTGTTTGTTTTGTCCTCCTTTAGGAACTCATATGTCCGACTGAGACATTTATGCACTAACACTTGGGTCACTAGTACCAGCATTCCAATAGATACCGATGAAGAGAGGCCTGTGATGTTAAAGGTAAACACACGTATCTTGAGGTTGAAATCCCAAACTCGTTCCTGAAGTTTTCTATTGGTGATCTCATTTCTAACATATAGAATATGCGTAATAATTAGGATAAAAGTAAGAGAATTGCTTACTCTCATTAAACCAAAAACTATTGCAGATTGGAACATGCCAAACAAAAGAGGACAAGGAAGCTTTTGCCATTGTATCAGTTCCTCTGTCTGAGGTCAGAGACCTGGACTTTGCCAATGATGCAAACAAGGTTCTGGCATCAACTGTTAAAAAGCTGGAGGATGGAACAATAACTCAGAATGAAAGGAGGTTAGTGAGTTTTGGTGTTTGGTTACTCATGACATCGTGACATCACAGTAATGGGTAAGTTAATAACATCATCTGTGTGGACACAGAGACAATGGGGGAGGACAATTCCATGCTGAGGGTGCTAGCCTGCAACTAGGTTCCATCTCTGCCAGAGCATCTTTGTTGCCTCTCAGGCTGGTCTGTGTATCTGGTCTGTAAAATGGGTGTGAACAGCAATTCCCCAGCTCACTGCCCACATAAATAAAAGGGTAGCACCCTGGACAAATGCAAAGTACTTGGTATAATTTCCTTTGGATAAACTGAACTGTAATATAGGCTGCTCATGTATGAGAAAGCCATCCATAGAGTGGGCAGCATGGCAGGACTCTTCACTTGGGTGGAGTTCACTGTACTGCACGTTCATCCTGCAAGAGCAGTAGAAGGAGATCTCAGAGTGACCGAGAAGGTGCCCCAATAGTCCCTTTCCTTTCTTATTTCTACTTTTTTCCCTGCTCTCTTTTCCTATTTTACATCATTTTGATGTTTACCCATGTTTCAGCTATAACACTACTAGAATGTCTGTTCTCCACACCTGCCCCTGAATTAAGGACTTTTATTGTACATTGTAGCCAAGTATATCCCATTGCCGGTGATGTAGTTCGCTATTTGTTTTCAGCTGTCTGTGGTTAAACTGAGTATTAGACAGCATCTCTGGCATTATTAATTTGTAACTTCTATTCCACCATGCATCATATGCAAGTTTTCCTGAAAATGTCATTTTTTGGTGATAAAACCATAGTTTTTTCTTCTTTTGGTTGTCAGTAGCAGTTAGACCAGATGGTTTAATATCAGGTGGAGGATTTATTGTAACAGACATATCCGTAGTGGCCTGTCTGTTAGTACACAGCCTTGAGAAGCTGATGGGTCATTTCATGATTGAGTTGAACCAGAGAGGGATACGACATAATCAAGGTGTGACATCCCTGTATTAACCTCGCACTGCCATGTCACTGCAACCAAGCGTTGTCAGTCTTGATGGCAGTCTTGATTGGTACAATGCACATGTAAAGTATTTCAGAGCAGTTTCAATATAGTGTCACTATTTTTTTGCTCCTGTCATTTCCTTTGGAAAAAAGCACCCTCTTTTCCCTGTCTTATCACCATCCTGCTTAGGTAAGTAGGGCTCCCAACAGTTTATTCCTGGTTGCTCTGTCCTACATCTACCCTTTCTACTTTTTCTGTTGGGGGGATAACCTTGCTGTTCTTCAGTAGTGGGCTGAGATGTTTAAAGCTAAAGCTCACTCAGAGACTTTAGCTGAACACCCCAGCCCTCTTGTAGGTAATGGAAGCTTTGTGTCTGGCTTCCAGAGATGACTTTAAAAGTCTACTGGGTGTCTTACTGCCACTTTCATAACATGCCTACAGGCTTAGTAGTTATAGACTAGATGTTGTCCAAATTCGGGTGGTGCTTCCTCAGGGTATGAGACACGCTTGGTTTTGTTTATAAAAAATAGCTGGTTCTCTTAAGGGAGATTTATTGAAATCTGTGGGCATCCCTACTTCTCTCTGTGTGTGTCTGGCAAGGTTTGTTAGTAACAAGGAGGCAATGACCATTTTCTTTATGCATTAGGGGCCGGTTACCTCAGTCAGTTGAGCGTAGCACTAACAACGCTAAGGTCGCGGGTTCGATTCCCGTTCGGTCCCCATGTGTTGCCTGATCTAGTCGAGAGGTGGCGTCCCTGGTGACAGGGAGGCTGGATTAAAATGATCTCTAAGGTCCCTTCCAGCTAAGGCCATTCTATGATTCTTTTTGCGTTTTCTGAAGGTAGGAGAGAAGGAATTACTACTGCCTGTGTCCTTTTTAGCACTCGCTTCTGCCAAATCTTTAGTGTAACGAAGAGTGAAACAAATATCATAATTTTTCAATAGTTTCTTGGGTAAGAAGGAAAGTCTAGTGGCAGAATGTTTCTGTTCCTCTGGTGGGTCTGTTTAGTTTCACAGACCCATGTCTGTGGTTAAAAAAATCTTGCTAGGCTGTGTAAGAGTATTTCTACTGTTTCTAGGCCTGAATACTCTCCATCAAGCCAACATCCTGTATTTCTCTCCCTTTCCCCCTCTAGTAGTTGTTTAATGCCTTGGTAAACATCCCTGTGATGGATT